AATAAACTACTTTCATTACGTGCTACATCATACCTTGTATATTTTTATCCTCTTTTTCATAAAATATGTATTACTTATTACCAAATCTCTTTCTACACATAGCTCAATTAAAGGCTCCCCATTTACATTTACCCCTGGCACCCCAAATTTACCTACTACTCCCTCCATAACATTTTTATACCCACATTAGCATTGAAATCCCCAACCACCATTACTCTCACACTTGATTCAAAACTCCCCACGCATTCACTTAACATTTCCCAAAATCTCTCTCTCTCCTCTACACTTCTCTCTTCTCCAGGTGCATACATGCTTATTATAACCCACTTTTCACATCCAATTTTATTTTACTCCACATAATCCTTGAATTAATACATATATATATATATATATATATATATATATATATATATATATAATATATATTTTATATATATATATATATAAATAAATATAATAATATATATATATGTATATGTATATACATACATACACGTATATATATACAGTAGGACCCCACTTATACGGCAGGTTAGGTTCCAGGCTACCACCATAAAGTGGAATACCCTTTTTTCCACTTGTTATCTAGCATTTATATGCGATTTATAAGTTTACACTAACATATGTTAGCAATAGAACTAGGCATTAAAAACAATAAAAAAGTAAAATACACATACAGTACAATTATTACTTACCTTAAAATATTTGTAGTCTTAATGTAGGGTGAGATGAGTAGTATTTATTGTAAGAAATCAGGTGTGGTATGGTATGTATGGTAGCCAGCCAGGCCACCCCGCCCACACGTAATATACTAAGACATTTAAAGCGTTCCAGAGTGATAAAATGCATACACAGTTCACTCACTACTTACCTTAAAATATCTGTAGTTTTAATGTAGGGTGAGAGGTGAGTAAACAAGATAAAACAAATAAATGAGAAAGAGAATGAGTACATGAGAGAGGACAGAGACGCGGAGTATGTAAACAAACAGATGAATGCGTCTGGTTTTGGTTCATACATGTTTGTATTATACCATAATAAAAACACTTTACATTATGTACAAGTTGTCTCCACGTTGGCACATTAGAATAAATAAAGAGCAAAACACCCATTCTCACTTAACACCATTTTAAGAAGAAATGATGCTCTGAGTGAAAGCATATGAAAGGAATAATTTTCTACAGTTATCCCCAGTAATATTATTGTGTACACATTTTTTTGGGCATTAAAGTATAGAAAATGTTATTCTTTCTGACACTCCATCAAGATGACTGGAAAAACATTTCATATTTATGTTAATTTATTCTATTGTGGGGTGTATTTATCATTTTTATATCTATGTAGAATGTTTATCATATAATTTTGAAAAAAAAAATATCATAGATGGATTCATGAAAATGTGTATATTAACGTAATATACGATATTTAATGGTCTCAGAGTGATTATTATTAAGTACTGTTATTATTATCATTATTAATATGGCGTCCTTGAGACATAAGACACTCTTACTGATTTTAATGTGTACCTGCATGCCAGCAGAGTATGTAAGTTTACTTAGGTACAGGTACACATAAGTATAATTATCAGAGAATATATAAAATATGAAATAACTTTAAAACACTTGAAATTTTGGAAAGTTTCCAGACATAATGGAGAGATGCTGAGCTCACGGAGAACGTAAACAAACCGGGTGGGGGCGAGGTGACCGTATCAGAAAGTTGGGTGGGGGGAGCCATATAGCGAGCTTTGGTCATAATTTGAGATGTTCGTATTAGCGGAACGCCGTAATGCAGGGCCCTACTCTGTGTGTGTGTGTGTGTGTGTGTGTGTGTGTGTGTTTGTACTCACCTAGTTGAGGTTGCAGGGGTCGAGTCCAAGCTCCTGGCCCCACCTCTTCACTGGTCGCTACTAGGTCACTCTCCCTGAACCATGTGCTTTATCATACCTCTGCTTAAAGCTATGTATGGATCCTGCCTCCACTACATCGCTTCCCATACTATTCCACTTCCTGATTGCTCTGTGGCTGAAGAACTACTTCCTAACATCCCTGTGATTCATCTGTGCCTTCAACTTCCAACTGTGTCCCCTTGTTGCTGTGTCCCATCTCTGGAACATCCTGTCTTTGTCCACCTTGTCAATTCCTCTCAGTATTTTGTATGTCGTTATCATGTCCCCCTTATCTCTCCTGTCCTCCAGTGTCGTCAGGTTGATTTCCCTTAACTTCTCCTCGTAGGACATACCTCTTAGCTCTGGGACTAGTCTTGTCGCAACCTTTGCACTTTCTCTAGTTTCTTTACGTGCTTGGCTAGGTGTGGGTTCCAAACTGGTGCCACATACTCCAATATGGGCCTAATGTACATAGTATACAGGGTCCTGAACGATTCCTTATTAAGATGTCGGAATGCTGTTCTGAGGTTTGCTAGGCGCCCATATGCTGCAGCAGTTATTTGGTTGATGTGCGCTTCAGGAGATGTGCCTGGTGTTATACTCACCCCAAGATCTTTTTCCTTGAGTGAGGTTTGTAGTCTCTGGCCCCCTAGACTGTACTCCGTCTGCGGTCTTCTTTGCCCTTCCCCAATCTTCATGACTTTGCACTTGGTGGGGTTGAACTCCAGGAGCCAATTGCTGGACCAGGTCTGCAGCCTGTCCAGATCCCTTTGTAGTTCTGCCAGGTCTTCGATCGAATGAATTCTTCTCATCAACTTCACGTCATCTGCAAACAGGGACACTTCGGAGTCTGTTCCTTCCGTCATGTCATTCACAAATACCAGAAACAGCACTGGTCCTAGGACTGACCCCTGTGAGACCTCACTGGTCACAGGTGCCCACTCTGACACCTCGCCACGTACCATGACTCGCTGCTGTCTTCCTAACAAGTATTCCCTGATCCATTGTAGTGCCTTCCCTGTTATCCCTGCTTGGTCCTCCAGTTTTTGCACTAATCTCTCGTGTGGAACTGAGTCAAAACGCCTTCTTGCAGTCCAAGAAAATGCAATTCACCCACCTCTCTCTCTCTTGTCTTACTGCTGTCACCTCTGTGTGTGTGTGTGTGTGTGTGTGTGTGTGTGTGTGTGTGTGTGTGTGTGTGTGTGTGTGTGTGTGTGTGTGTGTGTTGTGTGTATGTATGTATGTATATATGTATGTATATATGTATGTATATATGTATGTATATATGTATGTATATTATGTATATATTGTATATATATATATGTATATATAGTATATATATGTATATATATATGTATATATTATATGTATGTATATATGTGTATATAGTATGTATGTATTTATTATATATATATATATATATATATATATTATATATATAATATATATATATATATATATATATATATATATATATATATATATATTCTCATAATTCAGGTTTATCCACTTCTCCGAGGCTATGGGTCCCACAATTTACACCAGAGGTGGACCCCATCCTTAATTTTAAAATTATATATATATATATATATATATATATATATATATATATATATATATATATATATATATATATATATATATATATATATATATATAAAACAGCTGTTTTATCTACAATACATATATGTGAAAAAAGAATAACCTCAGTAGTGACTATACAAAGTAAACACAGTGAAACCTTGAATTAACAAATAAAAATTTAAGAGATTTTGGATTTAAGGGACAAAATCTGTGGTTGGACAAAACTGGGAAGTAGCAGACAAAGTCTTGTAAATGATGAAATGTCCACTGTCCTTACGGACAATTTTAGAGTTGCCAAAGTTTGTTATATCGAGAATTATTCATTATTATTATGATCATGAGAAAAAAATATTCTCATAATTCAGGTTTAGTGAACAACAACCCCCCTGCCCCTCCCCCCCCCCTTACTCTGGTGGATCCAGCCTTCACTGCATTTACTTTGATAAATAAAAATCTATCAGTGCTCTGGTAAATTAAAAACATTATTTTGACAGACAATAGTCTATCAATGCTCCAGTAAGCTAAATAGATTACTTTTTCAAACAAAAGTCTATCAGTGTTCCAGTAAACTAAATAGATTTTTTTTTTTTTTTTTGGAAAAGCGGTCAATCAATCAGTGTTGTGCAACATTCATGTCCCTCTTATGTTTCCACAGGATGACAAACACAAGAATGCAGGCTCAAAGAGCATTAACAATAACTACAGTAGGAGCTGCTCCATTATGAAGCATGGCAATTAGCATTGTTACTAGGCACTGATAACACAACTACCAAATAACAATGTTGGAACATTTAACATCATCTTGAAGTAAGCAAATTAGGCACTGTGCACAGTAACAACCAACTCATCCTAACCTGGCTATAAAATGACTTTCAAAATACGACAGATTTTCTTGACACATCTGTGTTTACCAACATGGTAATCTGAGATGATGAAGAAGACGAGTTTGCCATCACTCGTTCGGTAGTTCACTTCAAATGAACTTCCGAACAGCATTAATTTTAAAGGTACTAAGACTTTAAAATAAATTAAAAAATTATAAAAATAAATATATCACACTGTGTTTTAAGCATCTTTCCAAAGTTCCGATTCAGAATTTGAATTTATTACTCTCAATGCCTCTGATACAGCCTAATAAATAGAAATTACAGGAATACATAATTGTAAATTACATAAACTCTTAATTAATATCACAGATATTATACATCCTTCAGGTAGAGTTAGAAATTCATCAGTGTGCACTGAAGTAGCTTATACAGCCTTAAGGAAGTTCAGTACAGTACTCGTTGATGCTCTTCTGTACTATACCACCGTTAAGGTAAATTCAGTACAGCAGAGCATCAGCGTGTACCGACTTATTATCCTTGTACTCGATGCGTCCTCCGTGTTCTGATGGAGCAGCTCCCAGCATAATTGCATCAATTTTATCATGATTTTCAGTAGATATGAAGCACTGTAAACAGCGTCTGGCGCCCGAGTGTGTGCAGAGGCGGTCGAGGGAAGGGTACATTATATCCACGTCACGTACCTGCTTGGCAAGTAGGTTCTGCTTAGTAAGTTTTCGCACTGAACCGTGGCACTCTTCACGATCTTTGTTACTGCTGTAGGCGGACGATGCCCGACTTGACCCTATAGAGAAGTCACCAGGAGTCAGAACAAGTCCTTACATGTCAATTACAGTACAGTCACCAGCTTACTAACACTACAAGTTACAGTAGGTGCACCAGCTTACTAATAAACACTTTACAAGACTAGATATATAGTGTTAACACTTCTGAACCTTAAGCAGAATTGGTAATGTTATTTTCTATACAAGAAGTAAGTTGTAAGCTTGAAAACCAGGAATACAATATGTTGTAAATTGGAACACCAGTAATGAAGATGAGTGAGACACATGTGCAACACTTGGGTATCTCCACTGATGAATAAGATACATGTGTAACACTTGGGTATCCTCATTGATGAATAAGACACATGTGCAACACTTGGGTATCTTCACTGATGAATAAGACACCTGTGCAACACTTGGGTATCTTCACTGATGAATAAGACACCTGTGCAACTCTTGGGTATCTTCACTGATGAATAAGATACATGTGCAACTCTTGGGTATCTTCACTGATAAATAAGACACCTGTGCAACACTTGGGTATCTTCACTGATGAATAAGATACATGTGCAACACTTGGGTACCTTTGGCAAATGTTTTTGCCTACACAAGCAGCCTTCTTCAGTTGAATACAGCAATAACTTCCATGCTGGAGACAGTGAAAGGATGACACTGAACATCTTCAATGAAGGCTGAGTGAGTGAACACCTTATATCAAGGCTATGGAACTTTATGCCAAGGCTAAGGGTCTCTCTTTCAAGTGTTTCACACATGTCTCATTCATCAACAAAGATACACAGGTGTTGCACATGTGTCTTATTCATCAATAAAGATACCTAGGTGTTGCACATGTGTCTTATTCATCAATAAAGACACCCAAGCATTGCACATGTATCTCAATCATCAATATAGATACCAAAGTGTTGTTCATGTCTCATTCATCAATAAAGACACCCAACTCTTGCACATGTGTCTTATTCATCATGTGTCAGCCTTGAACCATCATATGATGCCATGAAGGTAACTTGTTGATAAGCTGGAAGACTCCTGTACTGCACTCAAAAAATTTAAAAACCAGTACCGTAGTTGACTGTAGCTATAGTATTGTATGACTCACAAAATCATAACAACAGGATTGTAAACAAACCACGGAACAGGTGGGACTTGAACTCATCCGTTCCATGATTTTTTTTACAGTACTGTAGTTTCTAGTCTTGAGCAGACTCAACAACAATACTGAATTTACTATTCTGACTAAAAAAAACATAGAATATAGTGAGTCCCAGAGTCGAATGTCATATGTCTTTAAGATACAAACTGAAAAACTATGTAGATTCATAGCATGGGTATGTAAATAAAATACAGCATACATGTAATGAATAAAAAAATCTTGAATGTAAATCCCTCATCCAGAGTGTAGGAGGTGTAATTAGTTTTGTAAAATGTTAAAATTTAGGATTTAGTCAACCTCTTATAACCTTCTCTATACAGTGCCGCCATTTTTTTGTGAATGTGACGAAGAAAGTTCATCCAGAATTAAACAGCATAGTCTATGCTGTTCAATTCTGGAGCCAGTTTTTCAACTGCTCTTACAAAAACACTACACTGCATAAAATAGGTTTATAAGAGAGCCTACCTTTTTACTCAACAAATTGATTTATTTATATGATAAAACGCAGTGAATTTTGTACAGTTAGGATGGTTAGGTCAGTGGATAACAAGCCAGGAAGTTGATGCAGAGTGCATGGTGCAGAGGGCATGGTGCAGAGTGCATGGTGCAGAGTGCATGGTGCAGAGTGCATGGTGCAGAGTGCATGGTGCAGAGGGCATGGTGCAGAGTGCATGTGCATAGGACATAGTTAAGAGGGCATGGAAAGAGAAGAAAGCATTTACGTCCCTTTATTTTACTTTTCACAAACTTCTACAGACACTGCAGACATGAGTAACACTTGTACTGTACATGAGTAACACTTGTACTGTACATGAGTAACACTTGTACTGTACACGAGTAACACTTGTACTGTACTAGAACAATGAACAATATACATGTAAGATGAGACACTCCTAGTTACAGAAACATGTACTATATATACTCAAGTTTTGGTCTACATTTTAAAATTTAATTTTTCACATCAAAAGTCAACGTTTGACCTAAACAAGAGGTTGACTGATACAAGAGGTCAATGTAAACAAAAGGCTGGCTTATACAAGAGATCAACCATTACAAGAGGTTGACTTACACAAGAGGTGGCCCAGTACAAGAGGTTGACTTATACAAAAAGTCGACCAATTCAATAAGTCAACTCATACAAGAGGTTGTTTTTGAACAAAACGGACCCATATATAAGGTAGACTTATACGTGAGACAGACTTATACTTGAGTAAATATAGTACACTCAGTGGAGACCAGAGAACATTAGCAGTGCCACTAAACATATTTACATCCACACTATATAATACAGTCACCTCTTCTTACAAAACTCCTCTATATACAGTCAGCTCTATTATAAAGCTCCTCTGTATACCTTTACCTTTATACCTTTGAAGAGTTTTGAGAGTTTATCTACTCTCTGACCCCGGCCGTGGGCCAGGCTCATCTGGTGCCTGCCTGGTCAACCAGGCTGTTGCTGCTGGAGCCCACTGCCCCACATATCCATCACAGCCTGGTTGATCTGGCACCTGGTGAAGATACTTGTCCAGTTTCCTCTTGAAGGCTTCAACACTTGTTCCAGCAGTGTTTCTGATATCTTCTGGTAAGATATTGAAGTCTGGGACTCCGGATGTTGATACAGTGTTCCCTTATTGTCCCCACCGCACCCCTGCTCCTCACTGGGTATATTTTAAACTTCCTCCCATATCTCTCACTCCAGTATGTTGTTATGGCAGTGTGCAGATTTGGGACCAAGCCCTCGAGTGCCTTCCAGGTATATATTATCATGTACCTCTCTCTCTCCTCTGCTCCAATGATTACATGTTCAAGACTTGCAGGCGTTCCCAGTAGTTTAGGTGCTTTACTGGCTCAATGTGAGCCATAAACGATCTCTGTATTTGTTCCAGCTCCAATATTTCTGCTGCTTTGAACGGGGCCGTCAGCACTGAGCAATATTCTAAGTGAGGGAGCACTAACGATTTGAAGAGTGTCACCATCGGCATTATTTCCCTTGTTTTAAAAGTTCTCAATACCCACCCCGTCATCTTCCTGGCTGTCGTGATCTTTGTCTTGTTATGGTCTTTAAAAGAAAGGTCCACTGACATAGTTATTCCCAGATCTTTTACATGTTCCTTATGTTCTATTTGGTGACCCTCTTGAGTTTTGTATATAGTGCTCCTTTTGAGTTCTTCAGTCTTTCCATACCTAAGCAGCTGGAACTTATCACCACTGAACGTCATGTTGTTCTCCACTGCCCACTGGAATGCCCTGTTTATGTCTTCCTGCACTTTTTCAGTGTCCTCTACCACACTGACTTTCATGCTTATTTTAGTGTCATCTGCAAATGATGATACAAAAGAGTGCCGGGTGTTTTTGTCTATGTCTGCTATGAGGATGAGGAACAGCAGAGGTGCCAGGACAGTGCCTTGGGGCACTGAGCTTTTGACCTCGCTGATACTGGATCTTGCCCTGTTCACTATTACTTTTTGTGTTGTTTGTGTTAGGAAACCAAAAATCCATCTGCCTACCTTTCCCATAATGCCCATGGCCTTCATTCTGTGCGCTATCACTCCATGGTCGCATTTGTCAAATGCCTTTGCAAAATATGTGTAAATCACATCTGCGTTTTGGTCATCTTCCAGTGCCTCCGTAATTCTGTCATAATGGTTCAGCAGCTGTGACAGACATGATCGTCCTGCTCTAAAAGCATGCTGGTTCGGGTTATGTTGGTTGTGCTGGTCCATGAAATTTGTAACCTGCCATCTCATCACTATTTCGAAGATTTTTATGTGAGAAGTTAGGGCTACTGGTCTGTAATTTTTAGCTAGTGCTCTACTACCTCCCTTATGCAAAGGAGCTATGTCTGCACTCTTTAAGGCCTCCAGTATTTCACCTAGGTCTAAGCTCTTTCTCCAAAGAATACTGAGGGCTCGTGCTAGTGGTACTTTGCACTTCTTTATAAACAGAGCATTTCATGAATCTGGTCCAGGTGCTGAATGAGTGGGCATGTTTTCCATTTCTTTTTCAAAATCTATGGGATTTGTACTAATGTTAGTTAGTTGGTCTGCACGGCCTTCTTCTGGAGTGAAAAATATTTCTGCATTTTCTACCTTGCTGTCATTTAGTGGGTTGCTGAACACGACTCATACTGTTCTTTTAGGATTTCACTCATTTCCTGTTTGTCATCAGTATATGAGTCTCCTCTCAGTAGTGGTCCAATTCTACAGGTAGTTCTTAGCTTGGATTTTGCATAGGAATAGAAATATTTTGGGTTTCTTGCAATATCCTGTATGGCCCTTTGTTCCCTTTGTACTTCTTCTGTGAGGTATGACATCCTAAGTTTTTGCTCTAATTCAGTGATCTCTCGGCTAAGTCTATATTTCCTCTGTTGTAGCATATTTGTGTTTTTAAGCAGTTCAGTAACCCATTGTCTTCTTCTGTACCATCTCCTACACTCTCTCTCTATATCTGATCTTCCTCTGGGTTTCCTCAATGGTACATGTTTCATACATACTTTGTATGCTTCTGTATTCAGCTTCTCTAGGCACTGGTGGGGATTTAGGTCGCTCATGTCTGATTCCCAGGGTATGTCTGATAGTTCTTGGTTTATTTTTTCCCAGTTAATTCTATGGTTGTTAAAATTTAACTTACTGAACATCCCGTCTCTAACTTTAGCAATGCAGTTTCCTACCCCTGAGTTAATACTAGTTTGAACCTCTATGATGTTATGATCAGAGTAAATAGTTTTGGAAACTTATGTCTCTGATCAGTTCCTCATTGTTTGTGAATATCAAATCCAGAGTATTTTCATTTCTGATGGGATCAATTACCTGTTGGTTTAAAGAGTACTTTTCACAAAGCCTCATTAGT